TTTTGTTACAGTTTATCATCGTAGAAGACAAGTAAAAATAAAAGAACAGTAATAAAGGATACTTAAATATGTATGTCGTTTTCATTCTTTTCACTTGGGTTTAGCCTTCTGGAGAGCCAACCGAAGTCATTTTATTTGGCAAAAATGAAAATTGTAATATTGTGGACGTGACAAAATCATTACACGTTTTTGAACAAGTAGGTGTAGGCTTAAACCAAAACGAAGTATTTCAAATTGCTCTCGCTCTTGAAAAACTTGGAGCTAGCCATCCACTGGAGAAAATTAGATTCTGGGGAAAGATCTTAGGAACAAAAAGGAACTATATTGTAGCAGAGACGTGTTACATTGAAGGGGCGGAGGAGGAGGAGGAGGAGGAAGAAGAAGAAATAATGGTAAGACGTGTTCCCTAGCAGTTTAAATTAAAGTTATGTTTAACGCAAGTATTTATTCTACTAACTACCTAATTAGCTCAAAATAAGGATTTTGACCATGACACTTCTGACATATTTAAATAATAATGTTCGTCCCAGTCTTTTTCCTCAAAACATAGTATTATCTTAAACTCATTGTTGTAGTAAACTTTGTATTTTTAGCTGTGAGCATAGCAACTCACAGAACGGCTCTGAGTTTTTCAAGTAAAAACTTTTAGCTCATAGCTCTGTCATCTCTTGGCCTATTTGAGATATATTACAGTTTTGGACTCAGGAGTCAAACCTTTTCGATTGATATATTTGACCACGCCCAAGGTTTCATAGATTAATTTACTGCAATTTCGCCTAAAAAAATTCCGTTTGAGGGTAGGCTAGTAGAGATCCTGATGAGTATTAATATCGAATCGGGTATATGCACGCCCCACAAAAAAATTGCCAATAAAAAGTAAAAAAAAAGGTCTCATAGATTAATTTACTCTAATCCTACCTGAAATAATTCCAAGTCCCGCGGCTATTGAGGGTTCCCTCATTGTTTTTTTTTTTCTTTGTGGATTTTCTTTTAATCGTACCATACTTGAAGTTTCTGACAAATGATCAATATGTGATTGATCATCCAGTGAACCGAGAACAGGAGATAGCTGAAAGATATTTATAAGAATTTACAAAACTTGTTTTCAATCGGTTGTTCGTAGTCTCCTTGAAAACATACTATGGGAAGTGACGAGGTTGAAAACAATAGACTTATTTGTTTTCGATAAATTTGTTTTAATTATTAAGGGAATTATCTTCAGAAAACACTGTGTTACGACAGCGGAAGTCATGTGACCCTAGTAGAAAATTCATGTCCCTTCATGAAGCCTCGAGTGTTTACAAGATGTGCGGGATTCTTGTAAATAAGACCGCCAAGAAGTGACGACAACAAGGGAATTGAATTGCAGATAGAGATAGAGACGACAATTGAGTCAAGCGCTTGAATCGTTCGTTCGTTGTGAATTATAGCGCTTGTTAAAGTTATAGCGTGACTGTGGAAATCAAGTGTATTGCAAAGTTGTATTGAGAAAGAATAAACTAGTTTTATTTAAGAAAGGACTTGTATCGCTAAAGTTTCTTCGGAAAGAATTTTTACGGAAAATTAACAAACGAACAGAGACGCAACAACTGCATCTAAAGAATATGAAACTTTAGAATATTTTGATAATTATAAACAAGAATGTTAATGGTTAAAATTGGGTAAAAACGACATCAAGAATATCATAATAATTTAAATATCATAATGGCATAAGATGAAATATATGTATGTTTTATATGCATTTATATATTAGTAAGGCATTCTCCAATCAACGTTCGGTTTATAAGTGATGAAATGGTTGACATTTGCTATACAGTAGTTGTTTAAATAAATATTATTTTTCAATGATTCTAAGTTTCGCAATGACATGATATAGCATCTGTCATATTCGTATTGAATTCGTGATAGATTGGTTGCGTAAAACCTCATATTCGGTTAAATGGTAACGTTTTATTCGTGCTATTCAAATCATATAGTATTCAGTTCGGTAATTTTCAAACAATGGTGATAATTATAATCTGATAATATTATGTTCTAACAAGATAGTTTGCTGGAAATAACTTCAAGTACGAGTAGCTTTTGTACTTATCTTCTTTGTATATAAAATCCAAGCGTTTGTTTTACGTTTCAAGTATTGTATATCACCAAAAGTAATATGTAATTCTTAATTTAAAATATTCGTACTGTATTTCAATTCTATGTAGGTCGAGCCTTCTGAAGAAACGGAAGATTTAGAAAGCACAGCAGATAATGATCAAAGTAAGAAAATCTGATATTTAAATAAATATTGAAATTACGAAAATCGAATTATAATAATATATTTTAATTTAAACTGATTGTATTTAAAAATACGTATTTATATTAAACATGTTTTAACAATACTTAAACCTAAAATTGAACACACGGAGACATAACAGTGGTGGACTTTAAAGAATTCTTTTAGTTCAAGATTAAATGAGATATTATCGTTGGTTTAACGATAAAATATTGATAATTTTTACAATACTCTTTTTGTGTCAACAAACTTTAAAAAGCGGCAATTTCTTTTCCACTAGAACGTATAAAAATATGTAAAATATCGTGTTCAATTATTACGTTTCAAGCAATCGTCAACCGTGTATAATTGTAAAGCTTGCCTTTTTAAAGTCTAAATTTAGACAATATTAAATATTCAGGCTTAGTGTTCTCAGAGAAAGATACCTTATTCTCTGGGTATCAACTTCTATTTAAAACCTTGCCGTATGGGTCATAGGGTGCTAAGATATTTTTAAGGGAGCGAGCCATCTTCATATGAAAAGTTTCTATAATTAATTGTTTAAATACCTGATCCTAAAACGAGTTTATTAACGTGGGGATATTCTGCAGTGATTAACTGAAATGCATGTACTGACTCTGAAGATGCACAATTTACGATTTTTACACATCGTTTGTAAGGGATAAATGAAAGATTGGGAACTTTGTTCGCATGCACGTTTGAAGTCAAGAATGATAAAAGTATATATAAATATATGTCAGAGCTGTAGGAGTACTTTTTGTATTAAGTGGGGGGCACCAAAAATTCCCAATTCATAATATTATAACATTTTTCAGTTATGTTGTCAAAGCATCATTAATTATAGTCATAATACTTTATCTAGATGCAACCAAGAAGATAACACATAAATTATATCTCATTTATTGATAAAAACAATACACTTAAGTGATTATTATAATGCATACATAAGTTTAAGTACTTACAATACATACATATGATTATTTTGAAATGATACGATTATCTGGATTTGCTAAGAAAACAAATAATACATTTTACAGATAATCTCTGAGTAGATTCTTTTTTCAGTTTTTCAAAAGACAATTCTTGCAAAAAATATATTATTCGTGACCGATAACAAAATCAACAGCAACTTTGTTTTATAAATTAACACAATTTATAATTATTAATGTATTGTTTCAGTAGAGAAATTTAATGCATAATATTATATGTATTTAGACCTGTTACGACAGCGGAAGTCACGTGACGCTGGTAACACGTAATGAGTATCTCGAACGTTCCTGAAGGCTCGAGCGTTTGCTAGACTCGCGCTTTTATAGTATATAAGTCAGCAAATAAAGTGACGGAAAGAATTGAATTGCAGACAGAGAGATATAGAAACAGATAATTGAGTCAAGCAGTAAGAAAAGTGCGTGAATTGTTGTGAATTCTAGCGTGTGTTTAAGTTAAACTGACTGTGGAAATTAAGTGTATTGCAAAGTTGTATTGAGAAAGAATAAATTAGTTTTATTTAAGAAAGGACTTGTATCGCTGAAGTTTTTTTTGGAAAGAATTTCTACGGAAAATTAACCAACGACCAGAGATGTAACAATTTGGTGTCAGAAAGTGGGACGGAAAATAAAAATAAAAAGAAGAAGAAGAAGATGGAAACGAGAGGTGGCAAATCAAACGACAGCTTAGTAGATTTGGTGGCAGCAATACAAAAACAGCAAAAGAAAGAAGAAGAGAAACAACAGCAGTTGCAAGAAAACCTGCAATAGTGGCAGCTCAAACAGCAAATTAAACAAGAGAGGCTACAGCAGTGGTTGGAGGAGAAAGAAAATTAACAAGATAAGAGATTACAGCAGTGGTAACTGGAACAAGAAAGGAAACAGGAAGAAAGTATCCAAAAGTTACAGAAAAGTCAACAACAGTGGCAAGAAGTACAAATGGAAAACATTAGTAAATTTCAAAACGAATTAATACATTAAAGGATGATTTATTGTCTTTTACACAAGGAGGGTACATAAACCATCGACTTAATCAGCCTCAGACAACGGCAAGCCCCTTCCAGACCCCGCAGCTAAACCCTAATGCAGACATCTTAAGTCCTGTTAGAAGTCACATCCCAGACACGAGTGTCAGTAATAGGGGTGATTTAGTACGAAGGAAGCCACAGGAATTCGATGGGAAGGCACCATGGGAAGCATATAGAGCACAATTTAAGCTCCTGGCAGAGATGAACAGATGGACAGAGGAGCAGAAAGCAGTATATCTGGCAACAAGCATGAAGGAACAACCACTGAAAATACTTGGACAGTTGTCAGCAGACGACAGGCACAACTATAGAGCACTGGCAGCTGCTCTAGAGCTCAGGTATAGAACTCAAAATCATTCTGAAGTCTACAGGGCTAGGTTTAGGACTAGAGTCCGTGCTAAAGGGGAGAACCTGCAAGAGCTGGCACAGGACTTGGATAGTATGGCACAGAAGGCCTTGAAGATTGGAAGGTTACTTGTGGCAGGTCATCAAGTAGTACCTATAACAGTGGCCAATTTCTCTAAATATGAGCAGACACTTAAGGAAGGGGCATTGATGGTTGTGTGCCAGTCAATGTTAAAGCAAGAAATACAACTATAAAGAAAGGACATACACTCCCAGAACATTTAAC